ATGTATTAAATACTATATATACTAACTAGTCTTGTTAAGGGAAACCATACAATGCTCTCTTATTTTTTCCTAGAACAATTTTATAGAGTAATCTAGTTATTAGACCATTGCATATACTCTAATCTATCCCCAGTTTTGGGACTTCAGCATGGTTCATAGATTTCTCCTCCTATCAAGGTCTCTTGATGATTTGTCACAAGCAAGTTTGATCATGCTTTTAAGCATCCCATCAATATAATGTTTACTCTTTTCAGGACTTCAGCCTTCTTAACTTGACAACTTCTTTATCAATCGATAAGATCAATGAAGTGTTTTTATCAATCTAGTTTCTATCCTGGTTGACCACAAGATTAGTCCCATCCTCCTTTACCTTATTATGGTAATGATAAGATACTGATTATCCACAACACCTATAGATCAACCTGATTTGATAAAGATTAACTATAAGTGATACCATATTACAGCAGATCCTTCCATTTCAGATATCAATAAGATAGCCAATATTGTGCCCAATAACAAGTATTAATCTATCATTCAATAGAATCATTTCATTGTATGTGATATTTTTTTCACTTGGCTCTCAGGTAATATTGAACTCTGGATCTTGTAATTGTAACCTGGAAACACTATTGCTATGCTATAGATTCACAGGTCAATCTCAAAAAATGATGAATTGCTAAAGTTGACACTAGGAAAAAGAGAAGAGGGAATACAATTCAAAGTTCTTCAAAAGATTCTTGCTCCATTTTACAGTTTCCTTTTGAAATAGGTTTGCCTGATTGGGATATTCTCTAAGCTTTATGACATTTGAAGAACTTATCCTTTTGCTAATATACAGATTCACTTATTGCTATTGAAGTTAGTATCATATTATAAAAGAGTTGTTTGATCAGAATAAAGAAATCTTTTCAAGAACTTTACCTGACTGGAATAGAAGCTTGGAGATTTCAGCTTTTGTTCAAGAAAGCTTTTTCATTATTTAAAAAACTTAATAAGAGATGGAAGTTATATCTTCTATTCCTATCCATCACTTGCCTTTTAGTATTATAATTGTTTTCTGGAAGTTGAATAACATGATTGAAGGGAATATTTTTTTCTAGAATTTTCTATCCTATATTACCAATAATGTATCGAGACATGTAAATGTAATCAATAGAAGCTTGTTTACATTCTAAAAACTGACATGTTTTATATCAGCCAATCATTTTTTATGAGAATTTGTGCTACTCAAAATTTAGGATCAAACTGAATTGAGCAAAATTCCTCAAAAAACTGTAAACATAAAAGCTCTAAGAGTACCAAGACAATTAAAAAAGGAGAAAATAAGCTTTTTTACTACAGAAAACTTCTATAAACCTCTTGCTTCAAAGATTAGAAAGAACTTCAGGTACTTTATAATCAGTTCTTCTTCCTTTGAAAACTTTTTTATCATTGATATCAAAGGTATTACTTGACTTTTCTTGATTACTAGAAGTCAAGTTTTTGAGTAAAAAGGTTTATTGACAATAGAGAAAGGATAGAAGCAACTTTTGAAGTCATACTTCAAGTTGTTTTAAGGAAAGTGTTAAGACTTTATTAGTAAAAAAATATAAAAACTTCTTGCAAACATCTTTTTTGTGTGTAATCAGAGGATTAGTGGAAAGAGTTGTAAAAAAAAACATTTTTTTATATGTAAATTTTATATATAAAATTCATCAATAAAATGATACCTATTATTTTTTTACTTCAAATTAATATTTTATAATAAATTATTGATTAATAATTGATAAAACTTTAAAAATAAAAATATTAAAGTTTTATTCAAATTCAATAATTATTTATTAAATTATAATAAAAAATATCAGTCCAAAGACTTTTGCATTGAACTGTATATCATCATATATGTAATATCTATTATATTCAAATAAAACAAGACTATAGCAAAAAAAAAAAAAAATTAAAAAAAAAAACTTTTTAAATATTAAATATCTTAATTAACAAATTTATTAAAACAATATTATTAAAATTTGTATAAAATATAATTTTTACAAAAAATATTATTTTAATTGAATTGATAAAAAAAAAATTCTTTATAAATAAAAAAATATATAATCAAATTAAAATAAATAAATAAATAAATCTATTAGAAGAAAAACTATAATTTTAAAGTAATAAATTATAATTAAAAATATATATAAAAGAAAAAGATTGATATTTAATATTTAATTTAACTTTTAGATTAAGTAGAATAGGTTTAATAGTTTTGTTATTTTGGCCTAGCTTCTTTGGTTTGGGTTTTTTGACAATAATAATTAATATAATTGCAAAATATTATATTGATATTTTACAAAAATTTTTAAATAATATAGTTGAAAAAAAGATTACATACTGTATTTCAAGATTATAATGCAAGAATTCATATATTCATTTGGCGAAATCAACTATAGAGAAAATAAAATAGGCCTTCTTGATCCTTAATGAATCCTGATCACAATTCTATAGAACATTTATGAAATGAATTAGGTTAACCTAAGTACTTAGTCAAAAAATGAGTTATAAGTATGAATCGACGTGATAAAGAAGCTCAAGGAGGTCCTACATAAAAAACCTATAAAAAATGATCGTAACAATATTAATAATAAACTCCGGTGATTTTTTTCCGGGGAGTGTACTTAAAAAATTTTTTTTATAGCGTAAAGATACAAAGATTCTTCTTTCATTGATTGCTAACGTACGTCGCAATGCAATGTGATGTACCACTTTACTTTCGGTCCTAATATCCCGTTATCGTCGGAAAAATAAAGGATAAATTAAAATCAACCAGCGGAGTTAAGTTACGTATATCCTCGATTTGCTAACGGCTTTTGGGACGTCGTTCTACAGTAATGAGTTTTAACAATGGTAGTACATGCAATTTTATTGGGAACATTGATCAATTGTCCTGTGACACATTCATTGGGACGATTGGTAATTAGTACTCTTTGATATTTATCCTATGCACTAAGAAGATTAAGCTTAAAGCCAATACTTTTTTCAGAAAATAGAAAACTTCGGATAGAAAATTACCCATGGTTTCAAATCATATCATGTGATGCGATTAGGAAACGTGAGACTTTTTTCACGCACTGTTAAATGCGCATATATGGTAAGACGATTTGTTCTTCGAACCCCATTCCTAAGAAAGAGGAATAATTGTAAAGCGAGTAAGCAAATGGGGTTTTAATAGGCATTTCGCAAGGATATTTTGTTGTATACATAAATTTTCACCTGTTTACTGAATAAATCCTTGAGCCACACATTTGCAAACAACCGAGCCACACTATATCGGCATGTATGTTCTTCCGAAGACTATGTAAAAGTGAATGCGAATTTTTTACTCCAATTTTGGTCTTATTCTGTACTTTGTCCTCCCATAGATTTTTCGCATTAAAATATATATGATCACAAACCTTTTCCAATTATACTTGGCGTATCACCACATCAAATTAAAATTTCGAAGGAAGTCATTAACATTCTTCTCAAGGTCGTTGCTTACCAAACAACTTTTCCAAGTAAGCGTCTCAAAAAGACATGTAGAATTGTCATTTTACTTAACCCTATAACTGTTTCTCCTGTACATTATATAGATCCTTGGTAAGGCGAATCCTTCCACCGAATTTTTTAGTCATTCTTTATACACCCAAATATTAACATACTTTTTGAAAAACATATAAATCAAGAAAAACCATATTCTTTCCCTATTTCCCCTTATATTTAACATCTTTGACGTAGACAAAATTCAGTAATTTAGGCTATAAAACATGTCCGTGTCGGAAAAACCGTCGGAAGCCTTGAACTTTTTAATCGGTTTCCTGGTGTCATTTGCTGGCTCGGTTATGAACGCGGCAGGTCTTAACCTACTCAAATTAGATCATGTTAAAAACTCTAGTATGCCTCTAGAGAAACAGCGAAATGAGTGTGGAAGACCTTTATGGCATTTTGGTTTGTACATGTATATCGCCAGTCAACTCATAGGAAGCACGATTGCACTAAGTATGCAATGTCTTTATTACATAGAAATGTGGTTACGAAAAAAAAAAAAAAAGTAAATTTCATCACAATTCTTTAAATTACGTCAATAGATTTTCTTAAAGCACAGTGGGTTGCTCCCCTCGGCTCGGTGTCGCTTATCTTTAACTTCATATTTGCGCGAATGTTTGTGGGAACGCGTATTACGAGGAGAGATATTATTGGTACTTTTGTCGTTATAATTAGTGTAATATGGATTGTGATATTCGGTGGGATGAATACTGGTGAAGATGGTAAGTTATTTATATCCTACAAATACATGATAGGTCGCTGTCTTACTGGAATTGACCTTTATTATTTATTATTTTCGCACGAAGATGATCTCACATTGGAAAGACTGAAATCATTAATGATACGTCCACTCTTTATCGTCTACTTTTCATTCCTTAACATCTTGACGTTTGGATTTTTTGGAGCTGCTCTATATTGTTATTGGATCCTTAAGGATGAACATAGAAAAATGCGTGATAACTTTTTCAAAGGAATTGACACGTTGAGATTAAGAAAAATTGTGGGCATGACTATGTCAGGTGTTGGTGGTTTGCTCGCGAGTCAAACATTACTCTTAGCCAAAAGCGGGTAAGTCAATGTAAATACTCGAAATGAATTCTTCTTCTTTTCTCCACTTTTTTCCTCCGATTTGCAATTAATAAAACTAATTAATAAGTCCTTTTTTTCCTTCACAATTAAAGTGTCAAACTTTTCTATATATCGATTACCGTCTCCAATCAATTCACCGACAATCTAAGCTGGTTTATTCTTGTCGGGCTTGCAGTTACAGCTGTCCTTCAGGTTTGTAAACTATATCTCTTTTTTATTTTTGTCATGTCATAATTTTTTTTTTAACTCTAACTATGCGGCGAAATTGTTCTTAGGTATATTGTCTTAACACCGCATTAAAATTACATGATTCCGTATTGGTTGTTCCTATGTTTTATGGATTTTATACTGCGATGGGTCTTGTCAACTCCGTGATTTACCTTGGCGAGATAGGAACCTATCCGGGATATGCTCTCCTCTTAGTAGCACTAGGAATCGGTGCGTTGGTATATGGTGTTTGTATGTTGAGCGAGTCAAAGGAAGCTCCTGTTGTAGGAACAAATGAATTCGATTTCGAGGATGAGGATGAATCAAAGAGCGAGAACATCGGAAAATGGGATAGCATTAGCGTTGGAGGTTCAAGTAGTGCCGCAGGTTCGGACGTAGGGCTATGTAATCAAGACTCCAGTAGCGCAAGAGGTCGATTTGGGGATGGAAGGATATTCTCATTTTCTCGTAAATCTGGTCCAAGTTCGAAGCCCGGATTTTTTAGGATGAATAAGTTAAGCAGTAAGAATAGAACAGAATTTCGAGAAGTTGACACGAAATCATCTCAAATACGCCTAGAAAATTCATCGATTCCACATATTATAATTGATCAAGATGAAGAATGTTCGGATGATGAATTCGTAACTCAAACAATGGTGCCAGTTACCACCTCACCAGAAACAATAACGGATGATTTGTTATTATTTTCTCAGAATTCTTCGTCACAACAAAGCGCGACGAAAAGTGATGATGAATCCTTATCTTCATTAATATTAAAAAATCAACTCCTGAACAAGGCATACGAGGATGAGGCAGTATCAGTAATATATGCGCGAAGTTTTGATGATTTACTAGAAACAAAGAATTCGTCGAGAGAAGGAAATGATAAACCTAATGGAGAGCGAAGTTAAAATTATTTACCAACATTAACTTTAAAAATACTTAATAGTTAATTATATAATGTGGGTCGGAAGAATTGCATTAAGTGGTTTGGGAGCATTACAATATAATCCATTCTCAAATCATTTGCAAGGATAAACACTATACATGTAATTTTTCGCTGCATTATTATTATTATTATTATTATTTGGTAGAAAATTCTTGCGAAGTTTGATGTGAATATTTAATTTTACTAAATTCATTATTTACAGAATGTTTGTAAATAACGTTGAGGGGTTATTTTTAAATTCGGGATTATTTGTCATTTGAGATCTTAGGAGCTTTTGTTCTGTTAAATAGCATGCTGTGAGAAATAAACTAATTGTATGCTAGAAAAAATGATTGTGATGTGAAATTTATAGCATATCTAATAAAATTATCTGTTCTATTTTGCATCACAAGGTTGTAACCTCAAAAAAAAAAAAAAAGAATTGTTAAATTTATCAGTATAGTAATCAGTCAATAATAATAATATTTTTTTTTTAGCCCTCTGTCAGGCTAGGTATATATGTTTTATTAAACATTTATATGCTATACATTAATTATATGGTACTAAAACACTAAAACTAAATCTTTATCTAACTCATTTCTGTTTATATTTTATTTTTAAAACTCTAAGTACAACTTTAGAAGGGATTTATTATTCTATTGGTGGTTTAAATAAAAACTCTTGTAACTTTTAAAATTATTGCTCACAAGTTACTATTGCAGATTACTACTTGAGATTTTGACAAGACTCAAAACTTTAATTTTTTTTTTTTTTTTTTAATCCTAGGTCAGGCTAGGTATGTATGCTTTATTAAACATTTGTAAACTGTACATTTTAAATGATTCGCTAAAGCTAAGACTTTACCTAACTCACTCGTCACCATTTTGTTTTAATATACCAA